GCGGCCCCGAACAGCTCGCCTGCAAGGGAGCTGGCCTCGGAGGCCGCCGAAGCTCCTGGCGAGGGCATGGCTGGGGCGGCGCTGGATTGGAGGAAGGCCTGCGACCGCGTCGCCCTGTGCTGCTTGCCTCGCATGCTCGAGCACGCTGGGGCCCCGCCGTGGATTGTCGGCCTGATCGCGCATGCCTAACTACTCTGCTCGCCGGCGAATTCGGGTCGCCAGCGCTCTCGAAAGTGCTCGGGGCTCCCCCGGCGGCATTCTGCCTGGCTGCGCGCTCGCCGTCTTCTTCCCGGGCGTGCTCACCCTGCCGCGCCACGGGCAGGTTGGGGGGATAGATGACACATTGCGGCGCCCGATCTACGTGGATGATCGACTTCACATAGCGGGCGCGACACATGATGCATGACGCCGGCGAAGCTGCGGAGTCCGTCAGGGAGGCGCCGCGCGCAACGGGCGCTTGCGAGCAGGCCATGGGGCGGCGGCTCAGCCGGGACAAAGGCAAACAATTTGCCGACTCGGCAGCGGCGCGGCGCTGGCTGGCCGAGCAGACGACATCGGTGGCTGCCAGCGCGTGCTTCGAAGACCTCGGGGTCGCCGCAACTGCGGGGCGCGCGCGCCGCTGTGCCGTCGCGGCCACGTGCGAAGGTGGCGCACGGCAAGTTTGCCCGCGTCGGCCGCCTGCAAATAGACTTCCAGCGTTGCTGCTTGCTCGGCGCTGCAGCTGGCACGGCCGCTGGCATGTGCGGCGCCGCGTGCGGGCGCCCCCCGGCGCGCGAGCTGGCCGGCCATCGTGCCGCCGCCCGGCACGCGATCTGCCGGGGCGGTTTCCGCGCGCCCGCGGATGGTGGTGTTCGGCGTGCTCAGTCCCAGCTGGCGCCTCGACCCAACCGGCGGCCGTGGCGGCCGTCGCGCCGCTGTGGCAGCTGGCGCACGCAGGCTCTGCAGCGCGGGCGTTTCCCCTCGAGGCTCTGGCACGGTCGCGGCCAGGGCCCTCTCGGCCGCGGCGCACAGCACGGCAGAGCTTCAGCTCGGGCTCGCCGTGGAATCCTGGAGCGGCGTGCCGTCAGCGCCGTCAGGCTGGAGACCTGCTGACCGCCCGCTGCAGGCGGTGCGCGCAATGCCGCTGGAGGCCCGGTCTCGCAACGAAGCCCGCGGGCGCGCCGACTTCGCGCACGTGGGCGAAGCCATCGACCGACGGGCCAAGCGGCGTTAACTCCAGATGCCGCGGGCGCGTTCCGGGCCGTGCTGGCCGTCGCGGAGACGGTGGCGCAAAGTCGGGGAACCTGCTCGGTTCCCGCGCTGCGGGGGTGCGCGGGAGGACCGACAGCGCGGGTTCTGGGAATGTCCATGCTGGTCGGCCACGCAGCGGGCAACTCTCGCCGCCGCTGGGTACTCGGCCCCTGCCCTCTTGGCCCGCCTGAGGCCTAGCGTCGCCACCTCTGGAGTCCTTCCGCAGGACCCCGCGCTGGCAGCGCTTGCCTCCGCCGCCAACCCCTCGCTGCCCGCGCCCGCGCTGCCCGCGCCCACGATGCCCGCGCCGCCTCGACGCAGCGCTGGCGGGCCTATGCACGGGCGGGCCGCGCGAGCACCCGCAAGACCCGTCGTTGGCCCACGGTGGATGGGGATTGCGGCCCGAGCGACCCGCCTGCCCTTCGATGACCGCTGGCGCCCCGTCGACGGCGAGCAGACGGCGCAGCGGGCCGAGGTGGCCGCGGCGCTGCAGGCCGTCAGCGCGGCGGGCTGCCCAGAGGAAGCCATCGCCGACTCGCATCCAGAATGGCGCGTTGGCCCTACGCGCCGGCGCCTCGCCGCAGGAGTGGCAACGCGCAGACCTCTGGGAACTGCTCGCGCCCCATTGCCGATCTGGCTTCGCCACTGCGCGGCGGGACAAGGCGCAACTCGACGAATAGGCGGCGGCGCGGCGCGGGATGTCCGAGGAGGACCGGCTAGGGGACCAGGCCGCCGATCGCTTGGCGGGCGCCGCCGCGACTGCCCGCTCGCCCGCGGCAGCCTCCGGCAAGGGCGGGCCGTCCGGCTGGCAGCGCCCGCAGCTCTCCAGAAAATGCTGGCCGCAATGGAGCTCGAGGCTTTGAGTGCCAACCCTGGGATCGTCAATGGGCAGGGCGGCCCCCGCGTGCGTCGGCGGTGGGCACCGCCCAGGCCCAGGCGGCGGCATCCCCGCAAGGCAGACGACGCGGCCGCGGCCGCAGCTGGCGGCCTCTCCCGCGGCCCCTGGCCAGGCGCAGCGCCAGTGGCTGGCGGCGCGCCGCGGCCTGGCGCTGCAGACGCGGCGCGGGCGCTGTTCGCAGGCGGCAGCCGGCGCCCCCTCGCGGCCTCCCAAGGCCCTGGCTGGGTGGCGTGCTTGCGATGCGGGCGCCGGGCACCGCGGTGGGAGCGCCTCGCGAGTCGGCCCTGCGGCGGGCGCGTCCCGGTCCTGCCTGCGAAGGCTCCCAGCCTGTCGCTGCCGCCAGCAATTCGCGGGGCCCGACGCCGATTGGCGCGCGGCAGTGCAGGACGCGCCTGGCCAAACGCGCGCGAGGCTCCCAGGCAACCTGGGGGATACCCTCGCCGTTCGCGGCCGCAGGCCGCAGGGCGCGCTGAGCGCCCGGGGCCTCGCCCCCCCTCCTTTTCCTCCTCCCCCCCCTGCCTCTGCCGATGGGTTTCGCATGGACGTCAAAAAGCGAGGGCCCTGGGCCCTTGGTGAAGCAAGTGCAGCGCCCAGATCTGAGGGTAACCCTGAGATCTGGGCGTTGCAACTTTTCCACGCCAGGCGTTTTCACTCGGTTTCGGGGGGGCCCTCCCAGATCGATCTGGCTTGAAATACGTCGCAGAAAGATGAAGTCTACTAGCCGGCCGCTCTGCGGTTGATCGGGAGTTTCTGTATATAGAAGAAGGTGCGTGCGCCTGTTGGCGAGGGTGAGGATGAGGTTCCTCCTCCTCCTCCTCCTCCTCCTCCTCCTCCTCCTCCTCCTCCATCCTTCTCTTGCCTCCGTCTGTCCTCCTCCACCCCACAGCTCCATCATCTTCTCCTCCTCCTCCTCCTCCTCCTCCTCCTCCTCCTCCTCCTCCTCCTCCTCCTCCTCATTCCTCCTCTGGGCACCTCCCCCGGGGCCCTCCCCCGGGGCGCGGATCCACCGGATCCCGGATCTGTCCGGAAACGGTGCCGGAGGCCGCTCTGGGCTCCTCTGGGCACCTCCCCCGGGGCCGGTTTTGTGAGGATGTCTCAAGCGAGGGCGCCGGTTTGGGATTCGTCCATCCAGCGGATCCACCGGATCTGTCCGGAAACGGTGCCGGAGGCCGCTCTGGGCTCCTCTGGGCACCTCCCCCGGGGCCGGTTTTGTGAGGATGTCTCAAGCGAGGGCGCCGGTTTGGGATTCGTCGGCGGATCCACCGGATCTGTCCGGAAACGGTGCCGGAGGCCGCTCTGGGCTCCTCTGGGCACCTCCCCCGGGGCCGGTTTTGTGAGGATGTCTCAAGCGAGGGCGCCGGTTTGGGATTCGTCGTCGGATCCAGCGGATCCACCGGATCTGTCCGGAAACGGTGCCGGAGGCCGCTCTGGGCTCCTCTGGGCACCTCCCCCGGGGCCGGTTTTGTGAGGATGTCTCAAGCGAGGGCGCCGGTTTGGGATTCGTCACCGGATCCACCGGATCTGTCCGGAAACGGTGCCGGAGGCCGCTCTGGGCTCCTCTGGGCACCTCCCCCGGGGCCGGTTTTGTGAGGATGTCTCAAGCGAGGGCGCCGGTTTGGGATTCGTCACCGGATCCAGCGGATCCACCGGATCTGTCCGGAAACGGTGCCGGAGGCCGCTCTGGGCTCCTCTGGGCACCTCCCCCGGGGCCGGTTTTGTGAGGATGTCTCAAGCGAGGGCGCCGGTTTGGGATTCGTCGGGCGGATCCAGATCCACCGGATCTGTCCGGAAACGGTGCCGGAGGCCGCTCTGGGCTCCTCTGGGCACCTCCCCCGGGGCCGGTTTTGTGAGGATGTCTCAAGCGAGGGCGCCGGTTTGGGATTCGTCGGCGGATCCAGCGGATCTGTCCGGAAACGGTGCCGGAGGCCGCTCTGGGCTCCTCTGGGCACCTCCCCCGGGGCCGGTTTTGTGAGGATGTCTCAAGCGAGGGCGCCGGTTTGGGATTCGTCACCGGATCCGGATCCAGCGGATCGGATGTCCGGAAACGGTGCCGGAGGCCGCTCTGGGCTCCTCTGGGCACCTCCCCCGGGGCCGGTTTTGTGAGGATGTCTCAAGCGAGGGCGCCGGTTTGGGATTCGTCACCGGATCCAGCGGATCCAGCGGATCTGTCCGGAAACGGTGCCGGAGGCCGCTCTGGGCTCCTCTGGGCACCTCCCCCGGGGCCGGTTTTGTGAGGATGTCTCAAGCGAGGGCGCCGGTTTGGGATTCGTCGGCGGATCCACCGGATCCACCGGATCTGTCGGAAACGGTGCCGGAGGCCGCTCTGGGCTCCTCTGGGCACCTCCCCCGGGGCCGGTTTTGTGAGGATGTCTCAAGCGAGGGCGCCGGTTTGGGATTCGTCGGCGGATCCACCGGATCCACCGGATCCACCGGATCCACCGGATCTGTCCGGAAACGGTGCCGGAGGCCGCTCTGGGCCCCTGTGCTCCCCGCGCCGGGGGTGAGGATGACGGTAGTTCCACAGAAACTCCTTCAAATAAGGCTCCGGTCATGATTTCTCACTATGTCTCATTTCTTTCGCGACGTCGTTCAGACCACCGCTGGGTTTGCGAATGCGACAATTAAGAAGGTTAGAAGTGGATGCTAAGATGGGCTATATCTGGCCTAACCTAGCTTGTAGGTGGGACACACGTGCCCTCAGCAGTTTAGCGTGATTGCCACAACTCCGCGACGTGGTCTCCGCACGCTTAGACCAGACTTGTACACCCCCTGAACCACTCAGGGCACTTCTAGCCCCAGCACCCTCTTCTGAGCCACCTGCCCCCTCAGAAACCCCAGCGGCGATCTCCGCGGATCTCGGGGCACATGCAGCCGATCCTGGACTCGGGGAGGGCCGACGAGGCCGCGGACCCTGCGAACCCGGCGGCCCCGCCGCCTCCCGGAGGTAGGGCAGCACCAGCCGCCCGAGCGAGGGCAGGCCCAAGCGCCGGCTCCCAGAGCGGCGCATCTTCAGCATGTGCAGCAGGGCGTCGTCGGCCAGCTCCCGCAAGATCCAGGGCCCTCGCTCGTCCTCGGCCCAGATCACTGGCGGCCAGAACTTCCTGGCCGCGACCGACGAGATCGGTCGCTGCCGATAGATTGCATCCACTTCGCGTATCGGTCTCACGACCGCTGCGCTTCAGAAAATCGGTCGCGACCGATTTGGAGTGCCGACCGGTCGCTCCCGATCGCGACCGAAAAAAACTGGCATCCAGTGATATGCGCGAGTCGCCCAGGGCCATGTCGCGACCCCCGGCCGGCCGCTGAGTAGCCCCCAGGCCTGGATCAGCGGAGGGCGGAGGGGGGGATCGGCTCTGCGTGGCTCTAGAGGCTCCCGAACTGGGACCAATCAGATGGGATTGGCTGCCCCCACCTGGTTAGCGATGACACCCGTTACAGTCGGACCTAGGCCAGAATAACCTCCTCGAAGAACATGAGACCCTCCGCCGACCCAAACGGAAGAGCATCCGAGGGCACAAAAACATCCAACAGACATAGGGCACCCTCCTCGAACCGACCTCGATCTCATACCTCGGTCCGACTGCACGTGCACCCCGACCGTCCTCGCCCACGGGCCGGCCAGCCACCAGGGGCGCCCAGTCTGGCATGGTCACGGTGGTCCGGACGAGGCCGTCTGCGAGGGCCTCCACGAACATCGTCCACCCTGGCGAGAGGCAACTGCAGACGTCCTCGGACACGGACAGGGCGCCCCGGTCCAGCAGCTTTCGCTCCAGGGTGTCTGGGCCTTTCATCAGCGGGTTCATGCACGTGCGCCTCTCGACGGATCCCTGCATGCGCTTCCACATGTCTGTCTCCTGCCAGTCGTCTGGGCCCGTCCCAAGCAGCCTGCGCGCGATCGTTTTCACATGAAGGTGCGCAGTGAGCACTTGCGGAAGGTGACGCTGGGAGGCGGGAAGGTACCCTGTGGTCGTCCCGGCTGCGAGCCCAATGCTCTGAAGTGCATGCAGCGAGCACGTCTCGCGAATGGCCGCCGCGAGGTCGAGGAGTGCCTGCGCGAAATCGTTTGAGCCACCGGCGGGCACCTCTGACCAGGAAGGTAGGTATGTTCCTCGCCATCCCTGGGGGGGAGGCCAAACGGCTTCAAGGAAACCCCCCTTGGGCGAGGTGGGAGGAGGAGGAGGATGAGCAGGAAAGAGGATGCGGATGCGCAAACTTTGGGAAGAAAAAGAGGAGGCGGCGCAGAAGGCGGAAGAGGACCACGACGACGAATAATGAGAATGAGAAGGCGAAAACGACGACGAGGAGCAACAACGACGCAGACACTGAGCACGCGACCACCTCCTCCAGCAGAAAGGGGGACGGCCGACGGCAACGGCGACGCGATGCCGACGGCGACCGACGGCGGCGACGAACGACGTCGACGACGGACGACGATGAAGACGGCGGCAGCGACGGCGGCCTCCTCCTCCTCCTCCTCCTCGTCCGTTTCCTCGTCCTCCTCCTCGTCCTCCTCCTCCTCCTCCTCCTCCTCCTCCCTCCTCTTCCGTTTCACGGCAGGGCGTCGGGTCTGGGCGTGGGGCTCGGTTCGACGCGGCACCAGGCGGCGGCGCGGCAGCGAGGGCGGCGACGGCATCGAGAGGAGGGGGTTCTCAACCTCCTCCTCGTCCTCCTCCTCCTCCTCCTCCTCGTCCTCCTCCTCCTCGTCCTACGCCCTGCGCTGCCGCCGACGTCGAGCAGCAAGCGCCGCCGTCGGGCCCTCGCGGCGCCGCGACCGCGGCTGGGCTGCCCTGGAGGCCCTTCTCCCCCGCGCAGAGGGAGGAGGAGTGATGATGTTGAGGATGATGGGATGCACAAAGACGTACTAGTACTATATATCATCCTTGGACGCGCGCGTCCGACCCGAACATATAGTATACCCATCTTGTAGTATATCGTTTCCCGAGCGGTGTGGCCAGAAAGCGCCCGCCACGACGCATATACTATAAGATTTCTCGGTGCGCGCGTCGCCCCTGGGGGGGCGACGAACACATAGTATAAGTATGTTGGGGGGATGCCGAGATGAGGGTTTTCCATGTTTTGCATCGCTGTCTGGCTGTCTGCGCGCCACTGTACAGCACTGCCACGGCGTGGGACGAGCGCAGCGTATGGAATGAGAGTGGGAGAAGAAGATGGAAAAGGGGTGGAGAAATCCACTACTGGTAGTGGTATATCCGCTTTCCTGCGAAACCTCCAGGCTCGAAAAACGGAAGAACTGCAAATCCTGATCCGCCGATCTAGTTGTGGCATACATGGGCAGGCGTGGCGGCCGTGAAAACCAAAAGTCGGACCGAACTCGGCAAGGCTAGGGACCTCCAGATGCCTCCCAGGTCTCCAAGGTGCCCTGACTAAAGACCTACGACGGGCTCGAAATCCCGCAGGTGTATTGAACATATGTCTGTATGTACGATCGGCACAGCGACTGAACTGCGTCAGTTTCTAGCCTTCCAGCGCCTTCTCCCCACTGTCCTCTTACTTTTCCTCTTGCTCCTCCTCCTTCTCCAGCTCTTCCTCCTCCTTCTCCTCATCCTCCTCCTCTCCTCCCTCTCCTCCTCCTCCTCCTCCTCCTCCTCCTCTTCCTCCTCCTCCTCCTCCTCCTCCTCCTCCTCCATCCTCTCCTCTAGCCCTAGCGTCGCCTACTGCGACGACTCCCGGCGCTGCATAGTCAGCCAGGGCACGAAGCTACTTGAGCAAGTGCTTGGCGTGCTTCCAGTCCTCGGAGGCTGACGAGCCCGCGCTGCCGCGCCTGCCGCTGGTCTGGGCCCTGGGGATATTGGCAGCCTCCAACATATATGGGATCTTCTGGCGGCAGAGGCGAACTGGCGCATCCAGCTCCTTCTCGTCGACTGTCTTGGAGGCCAAGTGGTAGAAGGTGACCTTCACGTCTAGCTTCTGTTCATCCTGCAAGGTTTTGTACGAGAACTTGAAAATGCGCTCGGCCGTGGTCACCGCCATGTTCGGTTCCTCGCCCAACGCTTGGATCGCGGCGACCTTGGCCCTCCAAGTCTTCATCGCCCTCTGGTTGCCAGTGGCGGGAGCGGGCGGCAACGGCGCGGCCTCAGACACCAACCATGCTGGGCAGAATGCCCCGAGGTTGGACGGGTCGCCATATTTGCCCTTCTCTATGTAGAACATCTGGTCGAAAGCTTTGCAAATGGGCAAGCTGCCGACTTTCGGGACGCGGGTGACCTGACCTGCGAAGTTCATGTGGAGGTTCTTGCTGAACTTGTTCGCATGCAGTTGGTAGTCGTCGCCCTTGCCAGGGCCCTTGCTGATGAAGAGGGACTCGAAGCCTTTATCGTAGGTCGGCTTCGACAATGTCGACTTGGGCACGAGAGTCTGCTCGAAGACGAACGCCTGCAGCTGCTGCATGAACACCTCCACGATCGGGCCCAACGACGTGGCCCCCGCGTCGGCGGCGAGCAAGCTGCGAGCGCGATGGACGGCCATGACAGCGAACGAACCGTCATCATTGACAGTCTCAACCTCAGCGTCACCAACAGCATCACCATCAGCACCCTTTGCCAACTGTGCCAGCGTGGGTGCGTCCGCCTTCTCCTCCGAAACCTTTTTCTCCTCCTTCTCCTTCTCCTCCTTCTTGGGCGCCACCTCGGACTCGGGCCCCTCCTTCTCCCCCGCGGCCCCTGCGGCTGCCCCCTCGCCAGGCGACGCAGCGCCCGCGGCCGCTGACGGCACGGCGGCTGCAGCAACGCCAGGCGCCTCGGACTTCTTCTCGCCGGCGCCCTCCTGGGGCGGGCGGGAAGGGGGTAGAGCAGCAAGAAAAGGAGCAGCAGGATAGAAGGAGGAGGAGGAGGAGGAGGAGGGGGAGGAGGAGGAGGAGGAGGAGGAGGAGGAGGAGGAGGAGGAGGAGGAGCAGGAGGAGGAGGGGGGGGGAGGAGGAGGAGGAGGAGAAGGAGGAGCAGGGAGGAGGAGGAGGAGAAGGAGGAGCAGGAGGAGGAGGAGGAGGAGGAGGTGTCCTTGTTGGTGCTGGCCTGCTCAGTGACCGCATGCAGCTGCGAATCGGTCGGGCTCTCGCTCTGCGAAGCGGCGGCGGCGGCGGCGCGGCCGTTGCTGCAGCTCTGCGGCAGCGACTGCATGACCACGGTCTGGATGTTGGCAGGAGCGTTACCGAGTAGTACCGCCCAGAATGAGGCGCTGTTCTTCTGGCTGACTTTCAGCTCGACGGCTGCGAGGTCGCTCAAGCAGTGCTCCATCGCGGTAACGTGCAAGCCCATGTCTTGCTCGGTGACGGCAGCGGCACCAGACATGAGCCTCTTGATCAAGATCAGCTGAAGTTGACAGCGAGACTGGAAGCAATGGTCAATCTCGGCCCAGGTCTCGAATATGCCCGCACTGATGTCCTCTGGAGATGCCGCATCGTCGGCCGTCTTCCACATCTCCTCGCAGACGATGCCGCACATGGCACTGCCGAAAGAGCCCCACTTGTCGTCGTAGATGGTGTACACGTGGCGGCTGAACAGCTCAAGAAGGACCGAAACTGGGAGCTTGTTGGAGTCGTTCGCGTGCTCGAGATGGAGCGCCGGGAGCTCCGCAGTAATCGATGCCATCATTGATAAGACCCGTGGACGCGTGGTAATGGGCACGTTCTTCGTTGCCCTGTGTTCGGTCCTGAACTGCAAGGCGAACCTGTAATTGCCGATATAGGACTCCACGGAAGGATGGAACGCAGGGGGCGCCTCGTAGTCGTCGACGACAACATTCCCGCCGCGCAGCTTCTGGAGAATGCTCAGCGCCACACCTTCGGGGTTAACAGCTTCAGGAACATCTTCATCCTCCTGCGCCTGCGGTCTCTCCTCGCCCTCCTCGAAGCTCTGCGGGTTCACTGGCGTCAAGCTCGCCGCGATAGCGCTCAGGGGCTGCATGTGAACTTTGACAACGTCGGTCTGCAAAACCTTCCGCACTTTGCTCCGCGCCTTCAGATCCTTGCCATTCAGGTTTATCTTCCCCTTGATGGCAAATAGCAAAGCATCCAGGATAATCTTGGAGATCTCGGGCCGCTGAATGCACCTGCCGTCGAGAGGCTGAACGGGGGCTAGGACCGCTTGCACTACGTCGTCCAACCAGAGCTTCTCGCGCGAGACCTTCTCGTTCCCGATCGTGGTTGAGAAATTCTCCTTGACGGACGCCTGCACAGCCGTGGCGTTCGGCTTGGGAGTGGCCTTCCCTCTGGCTCCACGACCTTTTTTCGTGGCAGGCGGCTCCTGATCCTGTTCCTTGTCCTTGTCCTGAATGGGAGCGGCTTCAGCTGCGGCTGCAGCGGCTTCAGCGGCGTCGTCCATCAGCTTCCTCTTCTGGGCAATCTTCGTGTACACGGCACTGCCACCCATTGGCGTCTTCAACACGGAGAGCACGCGCTTGGTCCTCGCGACCACGGAGATGGGCAGGACGTCTTTGTATTTGAGGACAACCGCGTCCGTCTCATAGGGATCGATCGGCGTCGCCATCATCAGGAGGTGCAACGTGGTCTCCTTCAACACCCACTCGTCCATCGAGCCTACGAAGTGATCCATCATGACAAGGATGTGATTATGAATTTCTGCGAGCCCTTGTTTGGTCGTGGCCGTATCCAAGTAGTTACAGTGGTCCCCGCAGAACGTCTTCCAGGCCTCGTACACGCCGAAGGTGTGCGTCGCCTTATCGATGGCGCCCTTCGCCGCTTGAAAATGGTCCCAATTGGCGAAGTACAACTTGTAGCCACCCAAGACGTGGTTCGAATAGAGTTTGGCGTAGGTGTACGGGCCCTTCTTTGGGCACCCGTCCACAGTGATGGAATCGACCCTGCACTTGCTCTTCCAAGTTGTTTCGGCATCGTTGACCTTTTCCATAATCTGGATGATGGTCGTAGCCGACCCGCCAATCGTGTTGTACGAATTGGCGTTCGCCTGCATCCACTCGGCACAATCGCCAGGCATGACAGGGCGCAGCACGATGGCGTTCGTCACCCCGCTCTCCAACGCCGAGAGAACGTACTCATTCGATCGAAACATGTGCACCGCCATGTACACGGCCTCCGTCAGCGTGCCCCCAGCGAGGAGGTAGAAATTCTCGGGGTCGGTTGC